CAGGTTGGGGGGCAGGAGTCAGGCGCTCCCCGGTCTGTGCCACCATTTGACTCCCCTCCAAGTGCCCAGGGGGTCGCTTTGCACCCCTTAGTGAAGTCCCCGAGGACTTTGTGCGCTGCCACCCAGTGCCAGAGGCAGGGCAGTGCCAGAGCAGGGGGAGATCTATTGTTTTGAGGCATTTGTTGACATTTTTGCTGAGAGTAGGAGCCTGCCTGGATCGCTGCGATAGGCCCTGACCTGGCCAAAGGACACTCTGTGCTCACAGGCACATGCTGTCCTGGCAGCCGAGGCAGGCACGGGGGTCGCCAGGGAGGCGGGCGGGTGGGCTCTAAGGGTTTACCCTGCGCTTCCTTCATTGGAGCTGGGAGCTGCGGTGTGCCTTGCCGGCCCGGGGAGGAGGTGACACCAGCCCTGGCACTTAGCGCTGTCAGCATGTTCAGGTCCCTGGTGCAGGGACCTGGTGAATCCCAGAGCCCCGCGCATGGCGCAGCCTGTCCAGGCTTCAGCATGGAGCCAGGGCGGCTGCGCTGGTGATGGGCTCCCAGCCCTGCCCGTGGCACCCACTGCAGCCAGCCTGCCCTCCCTGACGCTGCTCCTTCACCATGCCTGCCCCGCCAGCCCTTCCCCGGAGGGGTCGGTAGTTCACGTCCCCCGTATCTGCTGGGACAGGACTCTCTGTGCCGAAGTCCGCAGACTGGCCAAGCTGCTGTGGACTGAGAGCGGGGACGCACACCCTCCCTGCCCAGGACGGCATTGCACAGCCCGCTGCCAGCAGCAAACCACTCCACACCCCATGGCTGACGTCTGCCCAGTGCCACCGTTTGCCCCTTCCTCTGAGCCCCACACTGGGGACGTCCCGTCCACGCTCAGCCAGACCCCACACTGCATTTGCCCTGCCCTGCACCAGCATGGGTCCAGTCAGACCAGTATGGACCCTGCTACACATGGCAGCCGCCCTAGCCAGCTTGACGTGCCTGTTCCACGCCAGGATAAATGTACCGTTCTGGAGGATTTTCAATGTTTTAACTACTTGGTTTACTATCTAACTAAACTGGGGCAGGTCCGTAGGGTCAGCAAACAATGCTGGGGAGCCCCCCAGCCACTCCCCAGGGACTCTGGGCCACCCCAGGGACTCGTGCTGCCGCTGCTTGTCCTTGTCTGCTCACCCTTGTCCTTGGCGGCCACCTCATAGATTTGACGCATCTCCCCCATTTAGCTCCATAAACCAGCTGGGATTGAATTTTTTGTTCTCAATCCTAAAAAGCCTGGCTGTGCCCTGCTGGCCGTGCTCCAGCCGGCTCCCCTTTAGCTTCTCCTCCAGTTTCCAGGGTTGGTTTTCATCAAAGAAGGACTGGCTATCAAAAGGAGGATTTATTTATAGGGTGTCAAATACCCTGTGTGGCACCACAGGTCGTTATACCCTGTTCCTGAGTGGCTCTGTGGCCACACACAGCTGTTCCACCCTTCATCCTGGCCGGGCACAAGCCCATTTCAACACCTTCCTAACATCTCCCCAGCGGGATCCATTTCCCAGGAGAAACATCAGTCACAGCACTAAATAAAACTCTTCCTGGCCTTGCCCTTCCTAGGGTACAGCGTGGCACATTGGACCCCAAAATGACTGAGTCCCCCCCACACACCCTGAGCATCCTTCCTCACAGCCAGCACTCGGCAGCTGGCCATGGGCAAGAGCTTCTTCTATTTCTCTACTGTTTTTCGCTTTCCTGCCACAGTTTATCAAGTGCCACAGAGTTTTTCCTACAAGCACTTGCGAGGCGCATGCCTGGGGACCATTGGCACAGCTTGGGACACTTGTCTCCGTTAGCTCTGGGGAGCCCGGCAGGCGGCTGC